ATATATGTTATATTTTTAACATCATTACCAAATCAATATTTACCGCTTTATTATCTATTATTTACAACACATTTATCATTAATGTTATTATTAACATTTACATCATCAAAAGTATCCGATAATAATCGTCAATTTAACCGATGGAATCGTAAAACATTTTATCGTTTATCTAGAATATTATTATGGAATGAAAAATTGAAATTATTGATTGAAATTGAAAATCATTATCAAGATTCAGGATTTTCATTAACCAATGATTATGTTATTACATGGAATACATATATTTATGTAAGATTTTTTTATTATAATAATTTTTAAAGCAAAAATTATCATATATTTTTCTCTATACTTTTTTTCCTTCTCATAATACAGATATTTCATAATATCAGTACATTTTTCTTTCTTATTTTTGCACGATTATTAAATTGAAAATATCAAATAACGACTGATTGGTAGATTGGAAATCGATCGATCGATATTGAAATCAAATATTTCAACAGGTTTATTGTTGTCATTTTTAATTCATTCTTTCCAGTTACAAAATTCAAATTTATAAAAAATTTATAAACTTTTTTCAAATAAAAAATAATCCTTCTGCGATTTTAGGTTTGTCGAAATAAAAAGGATGATTTATCAATATTTCTAACCAAATATACCACCACCAGATTTGCCAGCTTTTCCAGCTTTGAATGCAGCACCAGCAGCACCACCTTTTTTAAAACCAGCAGCAGCAGCAGCTTTACCTGCTTTACCACCTTTAGCACCACCAACAGCACCATAACCAGCCTAAATTAAGCGGAAAATAAGCGGGGTAAAAAAATTGAAGAATTTCATACAAAAAATCTCAAACAAAAAAAAATTACCTTAGCAGCTTTGCCACCTTTTTTGAATCCAGCAGCACCACCAGCAGCAAATTTACCACCTTTTTTACCTGTGTAAACAAAATCAATCAAACATTATTAGATCAAATCGCAGGTAAATCGAATCAATCACAGAATTTACCTGCGGCACCAGCAGCGCCACCAGCTGCAAATGCACCACCCATTTTACCGAATTTAAATCTAAAAATTTCAAATGAATTTCGAATGAATTTTTCAAATTCAAAATTAACCCTTTCCATTTACCCTTGTGCCATTCCAAATGTTTTGACTGCACCGAATTTTTTATTGAAACCTGCAGCACCCATTTTACCGAATTTTCCTTTCTTGAAACCTTTTTTAAAAGCAGCACCTAAATATTTTGAATAAAATTTTTAATCAATTAAAATTTTCAATTAAAAATTCAGGTAAACTTACCAGCAGCACCAGCTGCACCAGCTTTACCAGCTTTAGCACCACCAGCCGCTCCAGCAGCAGCACCGGCAGCAAATCCACCTTTTTTACCACCAGCAGCAAAACCGGCTGCACCAGCTTTACCACCAGCAGCAAAACCAGCCGCACCAGCTTTACCACCTTTAGCACCAGCACCTGCAGCACCACCAGCAATTGCACCACCACCAGCTGATTCAGCAACAGCTAAATCATCATCAGCTTGTTGTGCATTGATGGCAACAATCAAAACAATGAATAAAACCTACCAAAACAAACAAAACGAAAAAAGTCGATGATGTCAATCGATAATCAATCAATTAATTATGAAACAAAAAAAAAACATATTCACAATCACGAAAAAAACACTTAACACTTACAGCACTGAATAAATATTTCATTTTTGGAAAAAAATTTTTGTTTTTGTTTTTCTTTTTTCTTCTTCAAATTTGGCTTCAAATCTAATCAGGATAGATTTTTGCTAATTTGGCTAATTTTATATACAAAAAGAAAAGTTTTAAAGAAAAATCAAAATAAAGTTTTTTAGTTTTTGCTACCTGGTGCATACCTGTATTTATATAGAATTTATGTATTGACCAAGAGAAGTGACAATAACAAAAAAATTATTATTACATCCAGGAAATAAATATGCCATGATGATGATAAAGGTGTTAAAAGAGAATGAGAAAAATCTTATTGTTGTTGTTGTTTCAAAGGTAATATCGTCGTTGTTATTTCCTTTGGATCTGATGCAAAAGAGAACGAGAAAGTTTCATGAAAGTATTTGCCTTGAAATATCATAATTTTGCTTTTTCTTCCAGTTTTCTTCGCATTCAAATACACTTTCTTGTCATCGTTATAATTTCATTTTCACAAAAATAGATTTAATATAAACAAATCAAACAAACAAACAAAAGTATTACTCGTGTGTTTTTTGATCCATAAATCCTGTTTCCTCTCTCTCTCTCTCTCTTTCTTTAACTCTAAACGGAAATCTTTAGTACGATCGGTTGTGGATGGAAGTAAATATTTCAAATTAAATAATTTTTCTTCATCGTTGAACACGTGATCAATACATGGATGGATTTGAAAAAAGAGAGTGGTAGGGGAGGGGGGGAAACCAAAAAACCAACCAGCTTCGATGTAACCTTGAAAGCAAAATTTCATTCATAAAATTTCCATTTTTCGAGTACATAATGAATTTCCATTTCCCATCATAATCATCCGTATGTCATTTTTTTCCCGTAAATAACACTTTATTCAACCTTAACCTTCATTTTTCTTTCAAAGCGGTGGTTCATGTCACAACGTTTTTAAATTGAAATTTCAATTTTTTTTTAAATTTTATTTGTAAAATTGAAAACGAAAACAAAACAAAACAAAACAAATTCCGGTTTTTTTTCTGAAAGTAAAATTCATTGTTGTTGTTTAATATCAGACTATGGATTCTGTGTGATTATTCTGCCTTTCGGTTGTGTGTGAAATTCAACATGAAAACAAAACAAAACAGATATGATCAATAATAATAATAATAATAATAACAATATTTGAAAACAAATATATCATTGGAAAGTTTCTGGGAAATTAATTTACGAAAAAATTTCTGACAATTATATTTGAATGATGATTGCAAAAAGAAAAAAAAAACAATTTTGGAAAATTCAAAGATTCAAGTGATTCAAAAGAAAAAGCAAAAAAAAAGTAAATCAAAAGACAATTAGAACATTGCATATATAGAAAGTGTAAATATGTAGGTATGATGATGTATATGATTAATCCAAAAAGAAGCGAAAAACATGAAAGAATTTTTTTTTGTTATTTTCAGATTAAGGCCTCGAGATTTTCGAGTGTCGAGTGTGTTAAAGTGTTAATTATTATCAATGTTTTTGTAATAAGGGATATTTGGAGGGATATATTTATTCATTCAAATTAGTTTAGATAATAATGATGAAAGGTAATTAGACAAGAAGTTTTGTACATTTTAGAAATTTTTGTGTTAACAAATCAATAAGTGGTAACGATACAAAAAAAGAAACAAACAGAAAAAAAAAGTTGTTCACATATCAAAAAGCAGAAGAAAGAATGCAAGAAACAGAAGAATGCAAAATGAAAAAATTAGGGAAGGAAGGATTACAGTACAAAAAGAAATGATGAGAATTTTTATGAAAAAAAAGTTTTAAGAAAGTTTTTTTGTAAACCTAGAATTTTTCGCTTTGTTTTGTTTAATGTGGCGAGTTATGGCGAATTGGATAGAAAATTTTTAACAAAAAAAAAAAGAAAAAAATTCCAACACTAAATTCAACACCAATCTTCATCATCATCATCATCGTCATCGTCGTCGTCATCGTCGCCATCATCACCATCACCGCTACCAATAGCATATGAATCACGTAAACTTGATGTTAAATAATGATGATGATGTGATGAACGATAATAATGATCAGATGATCGACCACCACCTGTAACAGCACCATCCGAATGAAATGATAATTGATGTAATGGTACACGTCTACGTGCACGTGGTATTGGTGGTGTAATTCGACGACTTGTTGCTGTCGATGTTGATTGTTGCTGTTGTTGTTGTTGATATGGCCATGATGATATTGATGCGGATTGCATAAATAATTTACGTCTTGGTAATTTGGTCATTGCGGATGATGTAGATGAGGATGCGGCTGCTGCTGCTGCTGCAGCGGTTGACATCAATACACCGGCACTTGATGGACGTTTGATATGATGATGATGATGATGCGATGTTGGTATCATTGGCTGTTGACGACGACGTAATCCACTTGTGGGTGGTACAGTCATTCCATAGCTATTAGTATTATCATCAAGATGATGATGACGATCATCAGTCCATGTTGATGAACGAAAATGTTTCATACGATCACGACGTCTTTGTTGTTGTTCCAACAATAATGATTGTTGTTGTTGTTGATGTGTAATTGATGTTGATGGTAATAATCGACTAGTACTAGCAGTAGTAGCTGATGTACCAGTACCAAGAAGATTTTCATCCGAATAACCGGATATTATCGGTTGATATGAGGTACTTGGCTGTGTTGAATGTTGTTGTTGTTGTTGGTGTTGATGATGACCATGTATTGTGGCAGTGATATTTGCTGTTGTTGTTGTTGTTGTATCTTCTTCTGGCCATGTTTCTAATGTAGGCTGTTGTGTTAATAATAAACTTGATCCAGGTGGTTGTGGAAGACCACGTTTTATCATTATTGTTGAACCTGGAATTGTTTGTTGTTGATTTAATATTGGCTGTGGTTGTTGTTGTTGTTGTTGAATAATAGAAAATTGTTGTTGTTGTTGAGGTTGTTGGGTTATTGGACAAACAACAGTTGCTTGTTGTTGTTGTTGTTGCGGCTGTTGTTGTTGTTGTTGTTGTTGACGTTGTAAAACGCTACTTCGACTGCTAAACATACGTAATGGTGCCAATAATGATGATAAACTTGCTCCAATTGATTGTGTTTGCTGTGGTTGTTGTTGTTGTTGTTGAGTCTGTTCTGATTGTTGTTGTTGGACGAATTGTTGTTGTTGTTGTTGAGCCATTTGATATGGATCGATTTGTTGTTGTTGTTGCTGCTGCATTTGTTGTTGAGAAGGATCCATCATCATTGCTTGCATGGCCATTTGTTGTTGTTGTTGCAATTGTTGTTGTTGTTGTTGTTGTTCTGGATCCAGAATAAAAGCTCCCGATGTTTTTGAAAAATGTGTTGGCGATGCATTTAATTTTGGAAAATTTATTGTAGCTGGTGTACGACTAGGAATGGTTGGTGAATGTGATACTAACGGGAAATTAATTTGAACAGATGGATCGGATAAATTTTTTGGCAAATTTCCCGGTGTTGTTGGTAATAAACGACGTTTTGCACCATTTAAAAATCTTCCCGGAAAACGACGTAACTGTAATTGAAATGGTATTGATGATGATGATGATGATTGTTGTTGTTGTTGTTGTTGTTGCTGTTGTTGTTGTTGTTGTTGTTGAATTTGTGTTGATGGACTTGGTGAACGTGATCGTTGTTCTAATTTTGTTGTTCCATAATATTCAGTTTTTGTTGGATCCTGGATCAAGAGAAAAGTAACAGATTTCATTAAATAGATTTGCATCCTTGATCAATCAAATGATAATTTACCAATGGATGTGGACTAGGACTACGACTTGGTCGATCTAAATCCATCCTTGAACTATGTGAACGATATTCTAATGAACTTGATGGACTTGGTTGTCCAATAAAAAAATCACCATCAACAACACCACCAACACCCGCACCATTTATTTCTTGTGCTTGTCGTAATCTTTGCATATAATATTGTTTTGAATGTGGATAATGAAATAATGGTTCACTTGGTCCTTGATCTTCTGGACGTGGACCACGCCATGGTTCACGATAACGATATGATGATGAACGACGATGATGACTACCATGTCTTACTAAACCACCAACGCCACCTATACCAGCACCAGTAGCCGGTAATGTTGGTGAACTAAATTCTTCATTTGTTGTACGAATTTTAGCTAAGAAAAAATGAAAATGAAAATTAGTTAAACAAATTGATTGATTGATTATCGATTGATTTTTGATCGATATTTACATTTAGCTCGACCTTTACGGGATGTTTCATATTTAACAATTCCAACTAAATCCGATACAGTATCAGCAAAACCAAGTTGATCGGGTAATTTTGATGGTGAATGTTGTTGTTGTTGTCGACCATATTCATCAAATTGTTGTTGTTGTTGTTGTTGATGATGATCTTGTTCTGTTGTGCAAACAGGAATTGTTGTTGTTGTTGTTGCCGTTGTTGTTATCATTTGATCACCACTTGTTGTTGTTGTTGTTGTTGTTATCGATGTTGTTGTTGTTGTTTTCGATTGTTGTTGTTGTGATTTATGTTGTTCATCATCTTCAGTATATGCTTGTGTTGTTGATGGTGATTGTGGCCGTTGTGGATGAACGGATGGTGAACGTGAACGTGAACGTCTCCGACGAAATGATGATCTTCTTGATGATAAATGATCTGGATGTAAATGTGTTGATAAATGTGCCAATGCACTAACAACACCAGCTTCCTATTTTGATTTTTTTTGAATGACAGTTATTAGTTTTTTCGGAATTTCTTAATTTTTTGTAAAATTCTTGTAAAAAGTATTTTTTTCATAATTTTTTTTGCATCAGATCATCAGATTATCTGATTATCTGAAAAGCATTGCAGAAAAAGCAAAAATAAAGGACAAAGATAAGAGATTTAGATTAAGAAATATAAGAGAGAGAGAGAGATAAGCTTGGAACTTGTGCAACACACACACACACACATCACTCACACGTCTTTTTTGTTAACAAATTTCATATTATATTTACATATAAAAAAAGTTATTAAAGCAAAACATTTAATACAAGTGGATTACGTGTGGGCGTTTTTATGTGGGCGTGTATATGAGATAGGAGGTGGGTGGCTTGAAGCAAAATATGATATGTTTGTTTTGGTTGATTGGTTTTGATTTTTTTGTGTTTTTTTTTTGAATGTTTTTAGCATCAAGGAAAAAAGCTTAATTTTTTTTTTTTGACAGAAGAAAATAACTCACATCATCATCAACATCTTTATTATCGTTACTTCGATCATCATCAACATCATCATCATCAGTTTCACAGGTAGTTTTATTTGAACTACTATGATCAGATTTGATTAAATCATCATCATTAACATCATCGACTTTAATTTGAGTTTGATGCGGTAATGGTTGATGCGGCAATTGATTTTGATCACCACCATTTTGATTCGAACTAATGGTTTGCATCAAAATAAAATCATATTTTTTTCCATTGTTGTTGT